CCCAGCTTCCATAAATCACAAAGATTTTCAGGTATGTGGAAAAACCCACTTAAGATTTGCTCTGTATAAGATTACCCTTTACCAGTTTGGACCAGTCCATTCTTGCACTCCCTTTAAAACTGTACCCTTTAGCTTCCTACGAGGATATGTAAGCTCATACTTGCTTGTGTTATTTGGCAAAATGAACCTCAGGACAGTTTTCACACAAATGTATGGAATAGAGTGAGTTCTTCATCTGCAACCACCTTATGATATTGCATTCTGGTGAAACTGTGCATAGAGTAGTGGTGGGTACACACTTACAATACCGTTATTGTTAATTCCTGATTTGAGGCCTGATAAGTAGTCATGGGAAGATGCCAGTCATAGACCATGTACTTCCATGTACCTATCACTGCTCAATGCACCAGCGGTGCTTATGTATCTTGATTTTTGCAAGCTTCTTCATTATCATCAAAGTCCACAATGAAACTGGATATTCTGTTGCTGCTCTTGATCTGTAGCTGATGTCATCCCAACTGCTGGTGCTCTGAATCATTCCTCAGCACAGAAACCCCAAAAGGCCAAGATTTGCAATGAGCAAAAATACCAACTAAGGTGCAATTTCTCCCTAGTTTTCTTCACTTCTGTTAAATGGGGGAGTCTATTTTATTCTGAAAATACTGTCTCAAATATACTTTCTTCTGTAATGATTGTAACATGGTCAGCCAACTGGACCTCACAGAATATGAGTTCTCTGATTGGTGCTGTGAATCTGGTCCAATCAGGGAGTCCTGGCTGACATATAAAATTGGTGAATGTCAGAGATACTGACACTCTAGTATCTGACTCCGAATAAGGCAGCACTAAAGTCAAGGACTGTTCATGTGCAAATGAAGGGTGGCTTGGCGACCAGATACCAACCTCTGTGTAGCTACTTTACTTTCTAAAATAAGAAAAAGTAAAAGGAAATAGGATTGTAAAAAGATGGAAATTAATGGAACATTACCAAAATTATATCTGAAAAGTCACATGGCAATTTTTACAGTCAAAGGTTCAAAGATTTATGAGTCTAGTTTAGAAGATCAATCTTTGATATGTTCTTGAGATGTATTGGTTTGATTAAAATGTAAATGAATTGCCTTTGTCTTGACATTTGCCTGTGAATCAGTAATCACAACTGGAAAGATAAATTTCTTACACCTTATGTATGACTGTCAAATTTAAGTGTTTCAGGGTTGCAGCTTCATCCCAAAGAATCTGTTGCAAATGTACTGAAACTTTCTTTGTGAAGCTTGTGGGCAGTGATATATTTGTAGGTAACTGCTTCTTCTTTTAATGACTGGTTGCTGTGATAGAGTCGTAGGTTGTTCGCAGTTTAAAATCAGAAAAAATAATTGCTGAGGTAATTGCTTTCACTTGCTAAGAGTTAAAAATGCCTGCTTGCTCAAATGTTATTGACAATTAGCAGCTCACAAGACAGATGAGGATGGCTGTACTGTCCATCCAGCAAGAAAAAAGAAAAATCCTCTCTATCACAGCATCCAATCATTTCCTCAGGTTCCAGAGTTTTTGCTTCCATTATACTCCAACACCTTTTGCTCATGAACTAAAGTACAATTAATCATCCTTGTGTAGAGAACTGCAATTGCCAAGATGCACATGTTCCTCCTTGTCCTACTGTCAGGGTTTAGCTCATACAAATGATTCTGTTCACTGTCTTATATCTGTCCATAGTATCCAATCTTAATTAAGGCTCCATTCAAGGCTGTTAAGTGCAAGCTTGTCTTCACAGTTGAATCTTTTGATATTGGGTATCAGTCTCTTGCTTTGTCTATGCACCAACGAGGGGCGGGGGATCCAAAAGCAAATTTTCCAAATTTGCTGATGACACAAACTAGGTGTGGCTGTAAGTTGCATGGAGAGTGCCAGGAAACTTCAAAGAAACTTGGACAGGTACATGAATGGGCAAGTAACTGCTAGTTGGAATGTAATGTAAGTGCGAAGCTATTCACTTTGGTAGAAAAACAGAAAGAAAGAGTATTTGTTTTAAATGGTAAGGGGTTGGAAAGTTTTGATATCCAAAGGGACCTGCTGTACTTGTTCATGAGTTAGTAAAAGATCGAATGCAGGTGTAGCAAGCAACTGTATCTATGGTAATATTTAAGCAATATTTAGATATTCACTTAGGTTGCCATAGCCTTCATGGTTTTGGACCAAATGCTGGAAAACAGGATTAATTTGTTGACCAGTGTGGACATGATGGGATGAATGGCCTCCTTCTGAGATGTAAACATCTATGAAAATATGAGTTAATTAGGAAAGCAAATGGTATGATAGCCTTCATCACAAGAAGACTTGAACACAGGAGAAAAAAATGTTGCTACAATTGTATACAGCTTTGGTGGGACTGTGCCTGGGGTATTGTGTACAGTTTATGTCTCCTTATTTAAGGAGGGATGTATTTGCTACAGAGAGAGTGCAAAGGATATTCACCAGACTAATCCTTAGGATGTGGGATTGTTTTATTAAGAGACAATGAGGAAGCTGGGCTTGTATCCCATAGAATATCGAAGAATGAGAGGTGTTCTTACTAAAACTCAGAAAATTTTTACAGGGTATGGCAGGGTAGATATAGGTGGGAAGTTTCCTCTGGCTGGTGAGTCTAGACAATGGGACAAAGTCACAGAATAATAATCAATTAGGACTGCAATAAGAAAACAATAAGAAAGAAGTTCTTAGGAATTCTTTTCCTCAGAGGGTTATGGAAATTCATTCTTTGAACATATTCAAGTTAGAAATCAATACATTTCTGGAGACTACCAACATCAAAGGATATGAAGACAGTGTGGGAAAGTGGTGCTGAGGTAGCCATGATCTAATTGAATGGTGGATTAGGGTTAGTGTTAGGGTAAAAAATACTCAGTGGGCCAATAGTCTACTCCTGCTCCTATGTTCCTAAGAAAGAAAAGGATAGGAAAAGAGGTCAAAGATGAAAGAACAAGGTTAAGATGTAGAGGACAAATTAGCACTACTTAGCCATCTCCTGTGGATTGATTCAATTAATATACACAGTTTCCTGTTTTAGCCGATTTTGTTTTTGGTAGAGCTGAGTGCCTCATATCTGTGCCTCATGATTGAAAATACCTAAGTTTGATACGACTTATTGTGAAAAAAAAGGATTACATCATTAAATTTTTACAGGTGATTTTCCTTCTTAAAGCAAGTTGATCTTCACAAAGTTAAGAGGCAACAAAGACTGTCAGTTGGCTTGTCTAGCTAATTTTTCAAAAAGATCATGGTTCATCCATGACAGCATCTGACTACCTCTTGAATGATTTCAAATGTTTGGCTTTTTGACCCTACTCAAAAAGTGATGCCGTGTATTGTTCACTCTGCATGTAGAAATGCCTCCTGATGTCAATCCCGAAGATCCCTCTTATTAGTTTATATTGTATCTCCAAGTCACGCAATCATAGCTTATGTTAAAGGCTCAGTTTTGTCTTTTGTTTTCTGCTTTTTATTTTATATTCACATATCTCAATTCAGTCCTCAATAGTATAAGCAACTCTGATTAGCTCAACTTGTTATGGATGGATGAGTTACTGGTATGTTATCATTAAAGGGACAGAAATATTAAAATTCCAAGCAGGTTTGGCTTGCCTATCTGATTTTCAGCTAAACAAATTATAAGAAAACTAAGGTGTAAAATAAAATTAAAATAGTATGGAACATTAAGCAAAGGTATTTCAAAAGTTGAATGACAGATGACAGGTGTGAAAAATCATTCTTGTCTCAGTGGGTACATTCTCACCTGAGTTGTGGGGATCAAATCTGGTTCCTGAGACTTGAGCACATTACCTTCACTGACGCACTAAATGTTGTACTGAGGTAGTACCAAGGATGTTGGACGTACCATCTTACTTGTGTAACGTTAACCTAATGCTAGCTCCCGTAGCATTATTGAAAAAGGAGTGGGGCAGTTCTCCTTGTTTTCTGGCCAATATTTATCCTTCAAGCTACATCACCAAAACAGATTATTTAACCATTGCTATTTTGCGAGATGATGCTGTATGCAACTTGGCCTTTGCGTTTTTCACATTGTAATATCAACTCCTGCAGAGAGTCTTATAGTTGAGATGATTGAGTTCTATCAACCGCAACCATTTTCCTTTGCATAAAGCATGACACCAGTCAGCGCAGAGATTCTCTCTTGTTTCTAATTGACTCCAACTTTGTTAGAACTCCTAAATGTCACGCTTTGTCAACAGCTGCCTTAATGTCAGGGTCTTTCCTCATCTCTGGATTTCAGTGTAGATGAGTAAAATGCATAAAAACGTTTTTGAACGAGTATTATTTTTCACAGGTTTAGAAATAATATGCTAGGTATAGAAGAGAAGAAAGATAGTCACGTAAAATACAGTCAGGTTGAAGGATTTCAAACACAGTCAGGTTGAAGATTGAGAAAACATTCAAGTTGAACGACGAGAATACAGTCAGGGTGGAGAATTTAGAGAACAGTCAGTTTGAAGGAGTGAAAGAACAGTCAGGTTGAAGGATTGAGAGAACAGTCAGGTTGAAAGATTGAAAATACAGTCAGATTGAATGTTTGAGAACACAATCGAGGTGAAAGATTTAGAATACAATCAGGGTAAAAGATTGAGAATACTGTCAGGATGAAGGATTGAGAGGACAGTCAGTTTGAAGGATTGAGAACACAATCAGGTTGTAGTCCACAGGTTGAAGAAGGGTCTCTTGAACTGAAACTCTGATTTCTCTCCACAGATACCGCCAGACCCGCTGAGTTTTTCTAGCAGTCTGTGTTTTTGAAGCATCGAGAGCACAGTCAGGGTGAAGGATTGAGAATAGTCAGTTTGAGGGATTGAGTCCAGTCTGTCAGAGTTAGAGGATGGAGCACATACAACAGACAACATGAAACACATTTCCACCCCTGAGGCCGGTTGCGACTGCGCGGATGGAGCCGCGCGGCTCGCCGTAGGGGCGCGGGGCATTGTGGTCTCGACCAAGATGGCGTCCTCCGTTCGGGCGGAATGAGGGGCCGCCGACCGGGATTTCGAGGCGGCCGTACCGGCACCGGTACCTCCTCGTCCGAATAGACTGCGTCCCGCTGTCAGCTTTCACCACCCCCCTCCCCCCCCCTCCCTTCCCCCTCCCCTGCTCTCTCCAACCCCCCCCCCCCTTCCCCGCGGGCGGAGGGGGTTTGGGGGGGGGGGAAGGGGGAGAGGTGTCAGACTCTGGTTATACTGAGTGGAGCCGGGCCGCAGCATGGCTGGAGCCAGCCTCCTGGAGGACCTGCTGGAGGAGGAGCAGGGCGACATGACCGACTGGAACCTCCCGGTGGCTTTCGTAAAGAAGCGGCACTCGGAGAAAATCGAGGGATCCAAGGCGGTCACCCAGAGCTGGCGTATGAAAGACCGGGTAAATTCCCACTTCTCTCTGTCTTCCTGACCTGCCTGGAGGTTACATTCAAACGCCCTCACTCGCTACACCTTCCCAGGGGCCGCCTTCCTCCATCCTTGTCCCACTCCATTTAACAAAAAAGTTTCTGTGCAGCTCGCGGTAAAACTTCCCATTCCTCTCCGCATGGGTTTGCTTTCAGTGAGCAAAAGGAAACACGAGCGTATGGTTTTCAAAAGTTTATTTACTCCATTGCCCGAAATTGCCACAACTTTTTGTCATCAAACTCTACCATATAAAATATTGACAATGCTGCCTTAACTCTAAACGCAAACCTTTGTATTTTGCACAATCGTTACAGCATTTCGTCTTGCTTCGTTAAATATGGATTATGCCTGATCTTTGAACAGGAGGTGTAATTAAATTCCAAAGAACCCTTGTGGAAACATTAGTACAGTTTTGTAGAATTTATCACCATCGACACATTTGTCAGGAAATAACCTTTTAAGCAATGCTTCGAATTCACTTCACATTTTTAAACGAAGAGTAAAGTACGTTTCCAGCATGTAACTCTTGAGTCAAGTACTTGGTATTTAAAACAATTTTTTAAATGGTTTTTGGCACTGTGGTTGCTGAATCTACATATTTCTCTCGGTGTGCAATGTTTTAAACAAGCTTCTGGTAGTTTTAGGAAAAAGTATTATTTTAACATCCCTGACTAACAATGTAATTGATAAGTTTGCAAACCTTGAAGAGTAAAGCTAGATGATTCTAAATGCAGATTAATTGCAGGTAATACTGTTAAAGTCTTAGATGTTATTAAATTTCGTTTGGAAACTTCATTATTTGATGTTGAAATTAAATGATGGATATATGCCTTTAAACTAGATTGGCAAAGGGGTGGGATCCTCAACAGGAGGGAGTCAAGTTGAGGCTGGAAAGAGATAGGGGAATCAGAAATAGCACGTTCAAGAGACAGGTCTGGCTGGAACAGGACAGAGCGAGGAACGCCTGATGGATTAGTTTGCATCTGTTTCAATGCACGATAAGGCCGATGAACTTGGCGTGGATAGGTATGTGGAGCTGGGATACTATAGCCATTACAGAAACATGGCTAAGGGAGGGACAGGACTGGCGGCTTAATGTGCCAGGGTACAGGTGCTTTAGGTGGGAAAGAGGGGAGGGGGAGTTGCATTTTTGATTAAGGGGTGTTTCACAGCAGTAGTCAGATGAACTAACTGAGGGATCGTCCAGTGAGGCTTTGGAGCTAAGAAATAAGGGGATGGTGACGTTAATGGGGTTGTATTATAGGCCCCCAAATAGTTGATGGGAATTAGAGGAATAAATATGCAAGGAGACTAGGGAGACTTGCAGGAACAGTAGGGTTGTCGTAGTAGGGGATTTTAATTTTCCTAATGTAGACTGGGACTGCCATAGTGTTAAGGGTGGAATTTGTTAAATGTATTCAGGAAAGTTTCCTCAAGCAGTATGTAGAGGGCCCTACTCGGAAGGGGCAGAACTCGACCAACTGTTGTGAAATAGGGCAGGACAGGTGACTGAGGTGACAGTGGGAGAGCACTTTGGGACCAGGGACCAGTGACCATAATTCTGTTAATTTTAAAATAGTTATGGAGAAGGACAAAACTGGTCTACAGGTTCAAGTTCGAAACTGGGGAAAGGCGAATTTTGATGGAATTACACAGGAGCTTGCAGGAGTTGATTGGAGTAGTTTGCTTGCAGGCAAAGGGATCTCTGGCAAGTGGGAGACCTTTAAAAGGGTGATAGCCAGAGTTCAAGGTTTGTGTGTTCCTGTGAGGGTAACGGGCATGGTTGGCAGGAATAGGGAATCCTGGATGACAAGAGGTATTGAGACTTTGACCAGAAAACAGGAGGCATGGCTCAGGAATGGGCAGCTAGGATCAAGGGAATCCCTAGAGGTATATAGGGGATACAGGAGTTTACTGAAGAAGGAAATCAGGACGGTGAAAAGGGGGATGAGATAGCTTTGGCTGGGAAGATTATGGTGAATCCAAAGAGATTCTTTAAGTACATTAAAGGAAAAAACAATAACTAGAGAGAGAATAGGATCTCTCAAGGACCAAAGTGGACAGGTATGTGTGGAACTGCAGGAGATGGACGAGGTCCTCAATATTTCTCCACTGTGTTTACTGTGGAGAAAGACATGAAGACTTGGGGAAGTTGTCCTGGGGACCATTGTGAATGGTAGGGTCTTAAGGAGTGTAACAGAGAGACCTTGGAGTTCAGGTGCATCGTTCTCTGAAAGTGGAGTCACAGGTAGACAGAGCAGTGAAGAAGGCTTTTGGGACACTGGCCTTCATCAGTCAGGGCATTAAGTATAGAAATTGGGAAGTTATGTTGCAGTTGGAGTATTGTGTTCAGTTTTGATCACCTTGCTATAGGAAAGGTGTTATTCAACTGGAAAGAGTGCAGAAGAAGTTTACAAGGATGTTGCCAGGACGCAAGGCATTGAGTTATAGAAAGATGTCGAACAAACCAGGACTTTTTTCTTTAGAGCACAGGAACCTGAAGGGGGGAATCTTATAGTAGTGTATAAGGTCATGAGAGGCGTAGGTAGGGTGAATGCACTTAGTCTTTTTCCCGGGGTTGGGGAATCGAGGACTCGAGGGCATCAGTTTAAGGTAGGGGGGAAAGAATGCGTGGGAACCTGAGGGGCAACATTTTTACACTGACGGTGATACACATGGAATGAGCCACCAGTGGAAGTGGTTGAGGCAGGTACATTAATGACATTTAAAAGGCATTTGGATGAATATATGGATAGGAAAGGTTTAGAAGGATTTGGGCCAAGTGCAGGGAAATGGGGTTAGCACAGATGGACATTTGGTCGGCAAAGACCAGTTTGGACTGAAGGGCCTGTCTCAGTGCTGTAGGACTGTGACTATGACTCTATGACAGGTGGAAGAAGCAAGTTAATATTTTGATTATGGTTCTTAATCAGAATGTACTATGTACTGTATTGCCAATATATCTACCATATGGAACATTATACAGTCTGCATTGAATTGAAGTGTCTCCGTTTCTAAGAAAAACTTTAAGGATACACAAAGCAAAGTATCTTTTGTAAAGACATTGCATTTACATGCATGTATTCCAAGTGCACAATGGCATGTTTAGTCTTGTATTTGTACTGTGAATTTTAGCTTAACTTGTTGAGTTTTGCTGTTTGTGAGAAATAAATACTCTTGTGGAACACTGTGCACTTAGTGGGATTTCTTTTTGATAATCTGAGGTGGTTTCCATTGGTAGAATTTATGAAGCAGACAGAGAAACGTTGGTATTCAGAGGCTCTTGGATGTCCATGCGAATTAATTTCAAAGTTTCAGGTACAGCAAATAATAAGGAAAGTGAATGGCATAAAAGCCATTATTGCAAAGGGATTGAAGTATGAAAACAAACAAGTCTTTCTGTGATCACAAAGGGCCTTGGTGGGATCACACCTGAACCATTGTATGCAGTTTTTGTCTGCTTACCTAAGGACATACTTGCTTGAGAGGGAGTGCAACAAATGTTCCCAAACTGATTGTTGGTAAGAGGAGTTTGTACTATGTACAGATGTTAAGTAGAGTAGGCCTGTATTCCCAAGATTAATTTAATATGCTGTGGGGAAAGTGCTGGAATCTCTAAGTAGGCTGTGGTGGTCACATAAAAAATCTTAATGCAATCAGGCAGTGTCAGCGTCGTTTTCTTTCAGGGAAATCATGTTTGACTAACTTACTGGAATTTTTTGAGGAAGTACTATGGATAAAAAGGAAACCATGGATGTGCTGTACTTTGATTTCCTGAAGGCATTGAAGATGCCATATCAAAGGTTACTGTGCAAAACTGGAACTCATGGTGACGGGTGACACAATAGTGTTGATAGATAAAACTAACAGCAATGTGCAGGCATGAAATGGCCAAATTTAGATTTGCAAGATGTATTGAACAGAGTACCACAAGAATCAGCATTGGTGCCTACATCATTTAATGAGTTAATGAAATCAATAAATTCATTGGATCAAAGAATCAAATGTATGCTTGCTAAATTTGCTGTTGACATTGGAAAATAAATTGTGAATAGGATGCAAGGAGTCTGAAAACATACATAGAAGAGTTGAATGGAGAAATAAAAGGCATGTAGTGTAGGAAAGAACTTGTCCCCTTTGGAAGGAAAGATGGAAATGCTGTATATAATATAAATGGAGTGAGATTGCAGAACAGGGTCTGGGTGGTCTGGTAAATGAATTGCAAAAAGTTATTATGTGAGTGGTTAGAAATGTACATGGAACGTTGGGATTATTGCAAAGTGAAGTATTTAATTTCTGGGATGGCAGGACTGACAAATAAAGAGAGTCTGTATTGGTTAGAACTACATTCACTTGAATTTAGAAGAATGATGGGGACTCTTCCAGAACCTATAGGATTCTAACAGGGCTAGACAGGGTAAATGCAGAAAGAATGTTCCCAGAGACCGTGGAGTCTAGATTTGGAGGTCATGGTTTAAAGATATGGGCTATGCCATTTAAGGCTTTGAGAAATCTCACTCAATGGTGAGCCTGCAGAATTCTCCGCCTTATTGAATGAAACCAAAACATTGAATGTTTTCAAGAAGGAGTTATTTATAGTTCTTAGGGCTATCGGGTTCAAAGGGTACAGGGAGAAAGTGGAACATGGCACAAGTTGGATAATCAGCCATGATTATATTTAATGGTGGAGCGGGCTCAATGGCCTACTCCTATTTTCTAAGTTTCTATGGAAGGGAATACAAAACGGATGTTTTTGCTATAGTTGTACAGGGTGTGGGTGAGATCACGTGGAGTACTATGTGCAATTTTGGTCTCCTGATTTTTAAAAGATATATGTATTTGAAGCAATTCAGAGCAGGTTCACTTGACTGATACCTGAGGAGGTTTGGCAAAGGGGATGGGGTTATATTATGAAGGAAGGTTGGACTTAGTCAGCCTGTATTGATTGGAGTTTAGAAGAATGAACGATTGTCT